CTTAAAGTTAGTGAGTGCATACATTATTATTATTTATTTTTCATACTGGCCCACCGTGGGAATTGAACCCACAACCCTGGCGTTGCAAGCGCCATGCTCAGAGGCCCTCTGCTTGCTTCATATCTGGCACTATACACGCCTCCCTCTGCCCAATGTTACCATGGAATCCGAGGGCCTCAGACAGCAGCTGAGCAGCTAAATCCTACCCTATAAGCGAAGCCATCAGTTACTCTCGCGCTCATACACTTGGAGATACTGTACATCCCACTGGGCAAAAACTGTTTGAATCAACATTGTTTCCACGTAAAAAATAAATAATGTGATGACATTCAATCTACGTGGAAAACTGATTGGATTTGCAAAAAGTCATCAATTTAAGGGAATTTTGTCTTTTTTTCACACAACTTTCAACCCAAATCTAATGGCATGGTAACATTTTTGGTTGATTTCATGTTCAATTCACATTAGTTGACAACTCAACCAAATGTAAATCAAAACTAGACGTTGAACTGACATCTGTGCCACAGTGCCAAGCCATTTGAGAAACAAAGAAGTTAGTAGTAGGGAAGGTTTCATTCCCCCCAAAAAAGTTTTCCTTGAGCGTTGTGTGAGAAATTACTTTGATTGCCCGCATTCAGAACAACTTCAACATTGTTGAATTTTTGTTTATTTTTCTATCGTAAATAGATGCATTCTTTGACGCTGGTATGTCTAATGTTTATCTTGTGGGCGAATTCATTGATGATGAAAGCATGCGGTTGTTACTGTATTCGTTTTATTTACATTTTTACATTTTAGTAATTTAGCAGACGCTCTTATCCAGAGCGACTTACAGTTAGTGAGTGCATACATTTTCATACTGGCCCCCTGTGGGAAACGAACCCACAACCCTGGCGTTGCAAGCTACAGTACCAGTCAAAAGTTTGGACACACCTACTCATTCAAGGGTTTTTCTTTATTTTTACTATTTTCTACGTAGTAGAATAGTGAAGACATCAAAACTATGAAATAACACTTATGGAATCATGTAGTAACCAAAAAAGTGTTAAATAAATCAAAATATATTTTATATTTGAGATTCTTCAAAGTAGCCACCCTTTGCCTTGATGACAGCTTTGCACACTTTTGGCATTCTCTCAACCAGCTTCATGAGGAATGTTTTCCAACAGTCTTGAAGGAGTTCCCACATATGCTGAGCACTTGTTGGCTGCTTTTCCTTCACTCTGCGGTCCAACTCAACCCAAACCTTCTCAATTGAGTTGAGGTCGGGTAATTGTGGAGGCCAGGTCATCTGATGCAGCACTCCATTACTCTCCTTCTTGGTCAAATAGCCCTTACACAGCCTGGAGGTGTGTTTTGGGTCATTGTCCTGTCCTGTCATTGTCCTGTTGAAAAACAAATGATAGTCCCACTAAGCGCAAACCAGATGGGATGGCGTATCGCTGCAGAATGCTGTGGTAGCCATGCTGGTTAAGTGTGCCGACAGTGTCACCAGCAAAGCACCATCACAGCTCCTCCTCCATGCTTCACGGTGGGAACCGTGAGATCATCCGTTCACCTACTCTGCGTCTCACAAAGACACAGCGGTTGGAACCAAAAATCTCAAATTTGGACTCATCAGACCAAAGGACAGATTTCCACCGGTCTAATATCCATTGCTCGTGTTTCTTGGCCCAAGCAAGTCTCTTCTTCTTATTGGTGTCCTTTAGTAGTGGTTTCTTTGCAGCAATTCAACCATGAAGGCCTGAACAGTTGATGTTGAGATGTGGCTGTGTCACGATCGTTGGTTAGAGTGAGTGGACCAAGGCGCAGCGTGCGATACGAACATGACTTTATTTAATTAAAGTACTCAACACAAAAACAACAAACAATGACGAATCGTGAAGTCCTCAGTTACAATGACTGATACGGAACAAAAACCCACAACACTAAGGTGAACACTGATAGTTTAAATATGGCTCCCAATCAGAGATAACGAGCCGACAGCTGACACTCGTTACCACTGATTGGGAGTCACACGACCAAACAAGGAAACAACCAAATACAACACAACCAATACCAAACACAACCAAATGAACACACCCTGGCTCAAAATACACAGTCCCGGAGCCAGAGCGTGACAGTACCCCCCCCTAAAGGCGCGGACTCCGACCGCGCCTACACCCCAAATAGGGGAGGGCTGGGTGGGTGTTGCTCCTCGGAGGCGGCTCCGGCTCCGGGCTTGGCCACCACCCTACTACAATCCCCCCGTAGTGCCCCCAGTCCGATCTGACCCAGTTAGCTGGATCAGGACTGCCGACGCGCACCCCTGGCTTGGCGCGTGAGGCAGGAATGGACCGGACCTGGCAGACGATACGCACCCTTTGCATGGTGCGTGGAGCCGGAACAGGCCTCACCAGGCTGAAGACTCGCATCCCTGGCTTGGTGCGAGTAGCAGGAATGGGCTGAATCCGGCTGACGACTCGCACCCTTGGCTTGGTGCGAGTAGCAGGAATGGGCTGAATCCGGCTGACGACTCGCACCCTTGACTTGGTGCGAGTGGCAGGAACAGGCTGAATCCGGCTGACGACTCGCACCCTTGGCTTGGTGCGAGTGGCAGGAACAGGCCGGGTTGGGCCGGCGACGCACACCGTGGACCTGGTGCGTGGAGCAGGGACCGGCTGGGCTGGGCTGACGACGCACACCGTGGGCCTGGTGCGTGGAGCAGGGACAGGCCGAGCTGGGCTGACGACGCACACCGTGGGCCTGGTGCGTGGAGCAGGGACCGGCTGGGCTGGGCTGACGACGCACACCGTGGGCCTGGTGCGTGAAGCAGGGACAGGACGAGCTGGGCTGGCGACGCACACCGTAGGCTTTGTGCGTGGAGCAGGGACAGGCCGGGCTGGGCTGACGACGCACACCGTGGGCCTGGTGCGTGAAGCAGGGACAGGACGAGCTGGGCTGACGACGCACACCGTGGGCCTGGTGCGTGGAGCAGGGACCGGCTGGGCTGGGCTGACGACGCACACCGTAGGCTTTGTGCGTGGAGCAGGGACAGGCCGGGCTGGGCTGGCGACGCACCCCGTAGGCTTGGTGCGTGGAGCAGGAACAGGCCGGGCTGGGCTGGCGACGCACACCGTAGGCTTTGTGCGTGGAGCAGGGACAGGCCGGGCTGGGCTGGCGACGCACCCCGTAGGCTTGGTGCGTGGAGCAGGAACAGGCCGGTCCGTACTGGGAACACACACCACTGGCCTTAACCGGGGATCAGGAACGGGCCGGACCGGACTGGTAACACACCTCAGTCTCTCACGCCGTGCCTCAACTACTTCCCTCCCTCTACTCACCAATGGCTCCCGTAATCCGGTAGCCTTCTCTCCACGTCTCCCTGTGGCAGCCTCCTGCTGCCCAGCCGCCCAAGCCATGTGCCCCCCCCAAAAAACTTTTTGGGGTTGCCTCTCGTCCTTCCGACGATGGCCCTGCTGACGCCGTTGCTCCTCTCTCAGTCGCCTCTCCACTGTTTTACTCCATGGCCGGCGATCCGTCCCATCCAGGATTTCCTCCCAAGTCCAAGACCCTTTACCATCCAAAATCACCTCCCATGTCCAGACCCTTGGCTCCTGGACACGCTGCTTGGTCCTGGTACGGTGGGTTTTTCTGTCACGATCGTTGGTTAGAGTGAGTGGACCAAGGCGCAGCGTGCGATACGAACATGACTTTATTTAATTAAAGTACTCAACACAAAAACAACAAACAATGACGAATCGTGAAGTCCTCAGTTACAATGACTGATACGGAACAAAAACCCACAACACTAAGGTGAACACTGATAGTTTAAATATGGCTCCCAATCAGAGATAACGAGCCGACAGCTGACACTCGTTACCACTGATTGGGAGTCACACGACCAAACAAGGAAACAACCAAATACAACACAACCAATACCAAACACAACCAAATGAACACACCCTGGCTCAAAATACACAGTCCCGGAGCCAGAGCGTGACAGGCTGTTACTTGAACTCTGTGAAGCATTTATATGGGCTGCAATCTGAGGTGCAGTTAACTCTAATTAACTTATCCTCTGCAGCAGAGGTAACTCTGGGTCTTCCTTTCCTGTGGCGGTCCTCATGAGAGCCAGTTTCATAATAGCGCTTGATGGTTTTTGCGACTGCACTTGAAGAAACTTTCAAAGTTCTTGAAATTTTCCGCATTGACTGACCTTCATGTCTTAAAGTAATGATGGACTGTCGTTTCTCTTTGCTTATTTGAGCTGTTCTTACCATAATATGGACTTGGTCTTTTACCAAATAGGGCTATCTTCTGTATACCACCCCTACCTTGTCACAACACAACCGATTGGCTCAAATGCATTAACAAGGAAAGAAATTACACAAATTAACTTTTAACAAGGTACACCTGTTATTTGAAATGCATTCCAGGTGACTAACTCATGAAGCTGGTTGAGAGAATGCCAAAAGTGTGCAAAGCTGTCATCAAGGCAAAGGGTGGCTACTATGAAGAATCTAAAATCTAAAATATATTTTATATACTTTTTTGGTTACTACATGATTCCACATGTGTTATTTCATAGTTTTGATGTCTTCACTATTATTCTACAATGTAGAAAATAGCAAAAATAAAGAACAACCCTGGAATGAGTAGGTGTGCCCAAAATTTTGACTGGTACTGTACATTTCCCTATAAAAACATATTTTCATGTTGAACATCAACAAATACTTTGACATTGGGAAATACCATTGAATTTAACGCCCTGGTTATTTGAGCCAGCCTTAGATGAGGCTATGCTGTTTGAGACAATGACATTTGGCCTGTATGGCAGTGAGGCAGTTTGTAGCCAGTCTGTAGCCTGCAGGTTGGGTTAACACGGGGAGATGGCACTAGCCTACTCTGACTAGGACTCATGGCTGGTCACCAAGGCCTGTGGAGTTTCTGGAGAGATGGAGTGCTTGGCTGGTCACCAGGGCCTGTGGAGTTTCTGGAGAGATGGAGGGCTGGGCTGGTCACCAGGGCCTGTGGAGTTTCTGGAGAAATGTAGGGCTGGGCTGGTCACCAGGGCCTGTGGAGTTTCTGGAGAGATGGAGGGCTGGGCTGGTCACCAGGACCTGTGGAGTTTCTGGAGAGATGAAGGGCTGGGCTGGGCAGACAGGACGCGACACAGACAGGATATCCTAAAGACAAGGCCCGGGCTGGACTTCCTCCGATGGTATACAGTACAATACACACGAGCACACATAGCCATGCACACATAAGAACAGACACACACACACACCATACACGCATGCACACACACACACAATTTCCCCTCACACACATAGTACTACCCGAGCCCCTACGATTGACAGCCACCCTGTTTCCCCCATCTCGTTACCCCATCCCTCTAGGCCTTTCCGCTCCAATCTCCCTCCTCCTCAGTGATCGATCCAGACATTGAGTGTCCTGTACTGTCAATCAAATGTTCCCGCAAGGTGCTACCTGTCACCCACTCGACTCCAGTCTCCGCCCTGCTGATGTTGATCTCAACCGATGATGTCCGCTCACCAAATGAACCCACTTGACTGTGCACACCAGGCATGTTGGTTTCCTGTACAACACCAGGCATGTTGGTTTCCTGTACCACACCAGGCATGTTGGTTTCCTGTTCCACACCAGGCATGTTGGTTTCCTGTTCCACACCAGGCATGTTGGTTTCCTGTTCCACACCAGGCATGTTGGTTTCCTGTACCACACCAGGCATGTTGGTTTCCTGTACCACACCAGGCATGTTGGTTTCCTGTACCACACCAGGCATGTTGGTTTCCTGTACCACACCAGGCATGTTGGTTTCCTGTACCACACCAGGCATGGTGGTTTCCTGTACCACACCAGGCATGTTGGTTTCCTGTATCACACCAGGCATGGTGGTTTCCTGTACCACACCAGGCATGTCGGTTTCCTGTACCACACCAGGCATGTTGGTTTCCTGTACCACACCAGGCATGTTGGTTTCCTGTGCCACACCAGGCATGTTGGTTTCCTGTGCACACCAGGCATGTTGGTTTCCTGAACCACACCAGGCATGGTGGTTTCCTTTACATTTACATTTACATTTACATTTACGTCATTTAGCAGACGCTCTTATCCAGAACGACTTACAAATTGGTGCATTCAACTTAGAATAGCCAGTGGGACATACACTCCCTCCCTTCTTTTTTGTATGGGGGGGTGGGGGGTAGAAGTATTACTGTTATACTATTCCAGGTATTCCTTAAAGAGGTAGGGTTTCAAGTGTCTCCGGAAGGTGGTCAGTGACTCCGCTGTCCTGGTGTCGTGGGGGAGCATGTTCCACCATTGGGGTGCCAGAGCAGCGAATAGCTTTGACTGGGCTGAGCGGGAACTGTGCTTCCGTAGAGGTAAGAGGGCTAGCAGGCTAGAGGTGGATGAACGTAGTGCCCTCGTTTGGGTGTAGGATCAGAGCCTGAAGGTAAGGAGGTGCCGTTCTCCCCACAGCTCCGTAGGCAAGCACCATGGTTTTGTAGTAGATGCGAGCTTCACCTGGAAGCCAGTGGAGTGTGCGGAGGAGCGGGGTGACATGAGAGAACTTGGGAAGGTTGAACACCAGACGGGCTGCAGCGTTCTGGATAAGTTGTAGGGGTTTAATGGCACAGGTAGGGAGCCCAGCCAACAGCGAGTTGCAGTAATCCAGACGGGAGATGACAAGTGCCTGGATTAGGACCTGTGCCGCTTTCTGTGTAAGGTAGGGTTGTACTCTGCGAATGTTGTAGAGCATGAACCTGCAGGATCGGGTCACCGCTTTGATGTTAGCGGAGAACGACAGGGTGTTGTCCAGGGTCACGCCAAGGTTCTTTGCACTCTGGGAGGAGGACACAATGGAGTTGTCAACCGTGATGGCGAGATCATGGAGCAGGCAGTCCTTCCCCGGGAGGAAGAGCAGCTCCGTCTTGCCGAGGTTCAGCTTGAGGTGGTGATCCGACATCCACACTGATATGTCTGCCAGACATGCAGAGATGCGATTCGCCACCTCGTTATCAGAATGGGGAAAGGAGAAAATTAATTGTGTGTTGTCTGCGTAGCAATGATAGGAGAGACCATGTGAGGATATGACAGAGCCAAGTGACTTGGTGTATAGAGAGAATAGGAGAGGGCCTAGAACTGAGCCCTGGGGGACACTACATTTACATTTACATTTACGTCATTTAGCAGACGCTCTTATCCAGAGCGACTTACAAATTGGTGCATTCACCCTATAGCCAGTGGGATAAACACTTTACACATTTTTTTTTTTTTTTTTGGGGGGGGGGGGGGGGGGGGGGGGGGGGGGGGGTAGAAGGATTACTTTATCCTATCCCAGGTATTCCTTAAAGAGGTGGGGTTTCAAATGTCTCCGGAAGGTGGTGAGTGACTCCGCTGTCCTGGCGTCGTGAGGGAGCTTGTTCCACCATTGGGGTGCCAGAGCAGCGAACAGTTTTGACTGGGCTGAGCGGGTACTATGCTTCCGCAGAGGAAGGGGAGCCAGCAGGCCAGAGGTGGATGAACGCAATGCCCTCGTTTGGGTGTAGGGACTGATCAGAGCCTGAAGGTACGGAGGTGCCGTTCCCCTCACAGCTCCATAGGCAAGCACCATGGTCTTGTAACAGATGCGAGCTTCAACTGGAAGCCAGTAGAGGGTGCGGAGGAGCGGGGTGACGTGAGAGAACTTGGGAAGGTTGAACACCAGACGGGCTGCGGCATTCTGGATGAGTTGTAGCGGTTTAATGGCACAGGCAGGGAGCCCAGCCAACAGCGAGTTGCAGTAATCCAGACGGGAGATGACAAGTGCCTGGATTAGGACCTGTGCCGCTTCCTGTGTAAGGCAGGGTCGTACTCTCCGAATGTTGTAGAGCATGAACCTACAGGATCGGGTCACCGCCTTGATGTTAGCGGAGAACGACAGGGTGTTGTCCAGGGTCACGCCAAGGCTCTTCGCACTCTGGGAGGAGGACACAACGGAGTTGTCAACCGTGATGGCGAGATCATGGAACGGGCAGTCCTTCCCCGGGAGGAAGAGCAGGTCCGTCTTGCAAAGGTTCAGCTTGAGGTGGTGATCCGACATCCACACTGATATGTCTGCCAGACATGCAGAGATGCGATTCGCCACCTCGTTATCAGAATGGGGAAAGGAGAAAATTAATTGTGTGTTGTCTGCGTAGCAATGATAGGAGAGACCATGTGAGGATATGACAGAGCCAAGTGACTTGGTGTATAGAGAGAATAGGAGAGGGCCTAGAACTGAGCCCTGGGGGACACTACATTTACATTTACATTTACGTCATTTAGCAGACGCTCTTATCCAGAGCGACTTACAAATTGGTGCATTCACCCTATAGCCAGTGGGATAAACACTTTACAAATTATTATTATTTTTTTATTTTTTTGGGGGGGGGTAGAAGGATTACTTTATCCTATCCCAGGTATTCCTTAAAGAGGTGGGGTTTCAAATGTCTCCGGAAGGTGGTGAGTGACTCCGCTGTCCTGGCGTCGTGAGGGAGCTTGTTCCACCATTGGGGTGCCAGAGCAGCGAACAGTTTTGACTGGGCTGAGCGGGTACTATGCTTCCGCAGAGGAAGGGGAGCCAGCAGGCCAGAGGTGGATGAACGCAATGCCCTCGTTTGGGTGTAGGGACTGATCAGAGCCTGAAGGTACGGCGGTGCCGTTCCCCTCACAGCTCCATAGGCAAGCACCATGGTCTTGTAACAGATGCGAGCTTCAACTGGAAGCCAGTGGAGGGTGCGGAGGAGCGGGGTGACGTGAGAGAACTTGGGAAGGTTGAACACCAGACGGGCTGCGGCATTCTGGATGAGTTGTAGCGGTTTAATGGCACAGGCAGGGAGCCCAGCCAACAGCGAGTTGCAGTAATCCAGACGGGAGATGACAAGTGCCTGGATTAGGACCTGTGCCGCTTCCTGTGTAAGGCAGGGTCGTACTCTCCGAATGTTGTAGAGCATGAACCTACAGGATCGGGTCACCGCCTTGATGTTAGCGGAGAACGACAGGGTGTTGTCCAGGGTCACGCCAAGGCTCTTCGCACTCTGGGAGGAGGACACAACGGAGTTGTCAACCGTGATGGCGAGATCATGGAACGGGCAGTCCTTCCCCGGGAGGAAGAGCAGGTCCGTCTTGCAAAGGTTCAGCTTGAGGTGGTGATCCGTCATCCATACTGATATGTCTGCCAGACATGCAGAGATGCGATTCGCCACCTGGTTATCAGAAGGGGGAAAGGAGAAGATTAGTTGTGTATCGTCAGCGTAGCAATGATAGGAGAGGCCATGTGAGGATATGACAGAGCCAAGTGACTTGGTGTATAGCGAGAATAGGAGAGGGCCTAGAACTGAGCCCTGGGGGACACCAGTGGTGAGAGCACGTGGTGCGGAGACAGCTTCTCGCCACGCCACTTGGTAGGAGCGACCGGTCAGGTAGGACGCAATCCAAGAGTGAGCCGTGCCGGAGATGCCCAACTCGGAGAGGGTGGAGAGGAGGATCTGATGGTTCACAGTATCAAAGGCAGCAGATAGGTCTAGAAGGACGAGAGCAGAGGAGAGAGAGTTAGCTTTAGCAGTGCGGAGAGCCTCCGTGACACAGAGAAGAGCAGTCTCAGTTGAATGACCAGTCTTGAAACCTGACTGGTTTGGATCAAGAAGGTCATTCTGAGAGAGATAGCAAGAGAGTTGGCTAAAGACGGCACGCTCAAGAGTTTTGGAGCGAAAAGAAAGAAGGGATACTGGTCTGTAATTGTTGACATCGGATGGATGTAGGTTTTTTGAGAAGGGATGCAACTCTCGCTCTCTTGAAGACGGAAGGGACATAGCCAGCGGTCAAGGATGAGTTGATGAGCGAGGTGAGGTAAGGGAGAAGGTCTCCGGAAATGGTCTGGAGAAGAGAGGAGGGGATAGGGTCAAGCGGGCAGGTTGTTGGGCGGGCAGGTTGTTGGGCACAAGTCGCAAGATTTCATCTGGAGAGAGAGGGGAGAAAGAAGTCAAAGCATAGGGTAGGGCAGTGTGAGCAGGACCAGCGGTGTCATTTGACTTAACGAGCGAGGATCGGATGTCGTCAACCTTCTTTTCAAAATGGTTGATGAAGTCATCCACAGAGAGGGATGATGGGGGGGGGGGGGGGGGGGGGGGGATTCAGCCAGCAGGGAGGAGAAGGTGGCAAAGAGCTTCCTAGGGTTAGAGGCAGATGCTCGGAATTTAGAGTGGTAGAAAGTGGCTTTAGCAGCAGAAACAGAGGAAGGAAATGTAGAGAGGAGGGAGTGAAAAGATGCCAGGTCCTCAGGGAGTCATAGTTCTCCTCCATTTCCGTTCGGCTGCCCGGAGCCCTGTTCTGTGAGCTCGCAATGAGTCGTCAAGCCACAGAGCAGGAGGGGAGGACCGAGCCGGCCGGGAGGATAGGGGACATAGAGAGTGAAAGGATGCAGAAAGGGAGGAGAGGAGGGTTGAGGAGGCAGAATCAGGAGATTGGAGGGAGAAGGATTGAGCAGAGGGAAGAGATGATAGATGGAAGAGGAGAGAGTAGCAGGAGAGAGAGAGCAAAGGTTGCGACGGCGCATTACCATCTGAGTAGGTGCAGAGTGAGTAGTGTTGGAGGAGAGCGAGAGAGAAAAGGATACAAAGTAGTGGTCGGAGACTTGCAGTGAAATTAGTAGAAGAACAGCATCTAGTAAAGATGAGGTCAAGCGTATTGCCTGCCTTGTGAGTAGGGGGGGGGACGGTGAGAGGGTGAGGTCAAGAGGAGAGGAGTGGAAAGAAGGAGGCAGAGAGAAATGAGTCAAAGGTAGATGTAGGGAGGTTAAAGTCACCCAGAACTGTGAGGGGTGAGCCATCCTCAGGAAAGGAACTTATCAAGGCGTCAAACTCTCCAAGGGAACCTGGAGGGCGATAAATGATAAGGATGTTAAGCTTGAATGGGCTAGTGACTGTGACAGCATGGAATTCAAATGAGGAGATAGACAGATGGGTTAGGGGAAAAATTGAGAATGTCCACTTGGGAGAGATGAGGATTCCTGTGCCACCACCCCGCTGACCAGATGCTCTCGGGGTATGCGAGAACACATGGTCAGACGAGGAGAGAGCAGTAGGAGTAGCAGTGTTTTCAGTGGTAATCCATGTTTCCGTCAGCGCCAAGAAGTCGAGGGACTGGAGGGTAGCATAGGCTGGGATGAACTCTGCCTTGTTGGCAGCAGAACGGCAGTTCCAGAGGCTGCCTGAGACCTGGAACTCCAGGTGTGTGGTGCGTGCAGGGACCACCAGGTTAGAGAGGCAGCAGCCACGCGGTGTGAGGCGTTTGTGTAGCCTGTGCGGAGAGGAGAGAACAGGGATAGGCAGAGGCATAGTTGACAGGCTGCAGCAAATAGCTACAATAATACAGAGGAGATCGGAATGAAATGAACTAAACATCTGGGAAAGGAGAGAGCGGGGCCTCCCTCACCACAACTCCCAAATATAACTCTCCCAACTTCCACCTCAGAAACTATAATTGTTTCACTGAAACACCCGAATATAACTCTCCCAACTTCCACTTTAGAAATGAGAATTGTTGTAAACTACAGCGGTTCAATGTTTCTAGGAATAGACTCTAACTTACTTTATTCAGCTAGCTAACTTGGTACAGTATTCTTCCATGAAAACCGCCCAGGGCACCGTATCCTATGACGCCTTAGCTAACTAGCATGCTAGCATCCAATAACACACGATTTAGCACCAATACTTGGTTACAACAAACTACCAATAGTGTGTTAACACACTAAACAGATAATTCGTGTCCGTGTCTAGTTCCTTTCATAACACAGCAATAATTAAACGTTGGCTAGCTAGCACAAAGTCAGTCATGCTAGCTACACAAGTGGACTACACATCTCGAATGTTCAGAAAGGGAAGCTTTATGTTGCAAAATTCTCATTGACTAAAATTATATTGTATTTAGCTGCTACAGTACTGCTAGCTGGTAGTGTTGGCTAGCTAGCAATGGCTAGTGGTGAGAGCACATGGTGCGGAGACAGATTCTCGCCACGCCACCTGGTAGGAGCGACCTGTCAGGTAGGACTGAATCCAAGAGTGTGCAGCGCAGGAGATGCCCAACTCGGAGAGGGTGGAGAGGAGGATCTGATGGTTCACAGTATGAAAGGCAGCAGATAGGTCTAGAAGGATAAGAGCAGAGGAGAGAGAGTTAGCTTTAGCAGAGTGGAGAGCCTCCGTGACACAGAGAAGAGCAGTCTCAGTTGAATGACCAGTCTTGAAACCTGACTGGTTTGGATCAAGAAGGTCATTCTGAGAGAGATAGCAGGAGAGTTGGCTAGAGACGGCACGCTCAAGAGTTTTGGAGAGAAAAGAAAGAAGGGATACTGGTCTGTAGTTGTTGACATCGGTGGGATCGAGTGTAGGTTTTTTGAGAAGGGGTGCAACTCTCGCTCTCTTGAAGACGGAAGGGACATAGCCAGCGGTCAAGGATGAGTTGATGAGCGAGGTGAGGTAAGGGAGAAGGTCTCCGGAAATGGTCTGGAGAAGAGAGGAGGGGATAGGGTCAAGCGGGCAGGTTGTTGGGCGGCCGGCCGTCACAAGTTGCAAGATTTCATCTGGAGAGAGAGGGGAGAAAGATGTCAAAGCATAGGGTAGGGCAGTGTGAGCAGGACCAGCGGTGTCATTTGACTTAATAAATGAGGATCGGATGTCGTCAACCTTCTTTTCAAAATGGTTGACGAAGTCATCCACAGAGAGGGAGGAGGGAGGGGGAGAAGGAGGAGGATTCAGCAGGGAGGAGAATGTGGCAAAGAGCTTCCTAGGGTTAGAGGCAGAGGCTTGACATTTAGAGTGGTAGAAAGTGGCTTTAGCAGCAGAAACAGAGGAAGAAAATGTAGAGAGGAGTGAGTGAAAAGATGACAGGTCCGCAGGGAGTCTAGTTTTCCTCCATTACTGCTCGGCTTCCCGGAACCCTGTTCTGTGAGCTCGCAATGAGTCGTCAAGCCACGGAGCAGGAGGGGAGGACCGAGCTGGCCGGGAGGATAGGGGACAGAGAGTCAAAAGATGCAGAAAGGGAGGAGAAGAGTGTTGAGGAGGCAGAATCAGGAGATCGGAGGGAGAAGGATTTAGCAGAGGGAAGAGATGATAGGATGGAAGAGGAGAGAGTAGCGGGAGAGAGAGCGAAGGTTGTGACGGCACATTACCATCTGAGTAGGGGCAGAGTGAGTAGTGTTGGAGGAGAGCGAGAGAGAAAAGGATACAAAGTAGTGGTCGGAGACTTGGAGGGGAGTTGCCACACCAGGCATGGTGGTTTGCTGTGCCACACCAGGCATGTTGGTTTCCTGTATCACACCAGGCATGTTGGTTTCCTGTACCACACCAGGCATGGTGGTTTGCTGTGCCACACCAGGCATGGTGGTTTCCTGTACCACACCAGGCATGTCGGTTTCCTGTACCACACCAGGCATGGTGGTTTCCTGTACCACACCAGGCATGTCGGTTTCCTGTACCACACCAGGCATGTCGGTTTCCTGTGCCACACCAGGCATGGTGGTTTCCTGTGCCACACCAGGCATGTCGGTTTCCTGAAAACCTCTTATGACACTTACCCTGTCTTCACAGTCACAAACATGCACGCACACACACACACACACGACACACACACACACACACATACACACACATACACACACACAAACAAACTGTGCAGCCTGGTATACATGCGGTTATGTGTTGTGTTAGTGAAAGTTCTTTCACAAATGTACAACACAAAACATTCAGTGACTGCATAATATTCCTGCATAATATCCCAGGCCATCTTGATCCTAAATTATACTGTATGTATCTAAGACATTATTATAAAAAAAATTAAGATCTTAGGGATGGCTGCAGAGAAACTATGGTTCGCTCTGTTGCATTAAGTAAAATATAATTTGCTTTTAACTTATTTTTTTATTATTATTGCGGGACCCTTCAGTAATAGAAGACACAGTCAGAACATAGAAAGGGGAGGAAGAAATGTTTCTTATTGGATAGTTTTACATTTCAGCCCTGACGCTCTCCGAAGAGAGAAGAATGTATCAAGTGCAGAGATTCGGTCAATAATTCAACTCCCCGAGAAAAAAGAAGAACTGAAATGCATTTGGCAAAAGAGAGAAGAGAAGAAAGACAGAAAGAAAGAAAAAGGAGAAAGAGGAAGAGTCGGAGCCGAGAAAACAGCTGATTGCTCCCCCCTTTATCGGGGAGCGGATGAGAGGTGTCAACAGTGTAAACAGGAATGAAGGACAGAGATGGATCCGACAGTGAGAGGGGATGATGGGAAGGGCGGGCCATGCTCTGAAAGTCAGTCGTGACAATGCTCAATCTCTTACCCTCACCACTTCCATCCGTCCCTCCGTCCCTCCCTCCCTCCATTGTCCTGGGCCATCAAAAACATAACCCCCCCTGGGGAGCGGAAATGGAGGACACTGAGGGCAGGAAAGGACATCGCGTAGTCGCACTGCCTCTCAGGTTCTCAGTCAGAGAGACATGGACGGGCTGTAGCATGCAGGCAGACTCCTGAGACATCTAGAGAAGAGAAGAAGATAGGCTAGAGAGCGTATAGCTCTCTTCGCTGCTCGAGAGATGAGCGTAGATCGCTCTCTCGCTATGCTCTCTCTATCTCTCTCCTCTCTCTCTCTCTCTCTCTCTCTCTTCTCCTTCTCTCTGAGCCCCCATGACACTGACAGCTACACCTGCTCGCTTTGATAGCAAGGGCCACTTCAGTTTTGTCACACACACCGTCCCCCCCTGCCCCCCTTGGATAGGTGTGCCACTACCCATGACCGCAGGGGCCATTGACGCTCTGTCGACTCCCCCAGCATTGTCTCTGTCTGCCCTGTCAGTCCATCTCGACTGGCCTGACCTATCTGCCACTCAGCAGCTTGGCTGTGGGCCCTCCTCCTGGGGCGGACTCCCTCCCTTCCTCTTCCTCCTGCTCCCATTCTCCTTCTTTGGCCCTGAACCTGTCAGTAGTCTGTGTCCCCCTGTCTCCAGGTCACCTCCAGTCAGCACAACCGTCCATCTCCTCCCCTCCTCTCCTACTGCTACTTCTCTCCACACCTCCCTCCTCCTCGCCCCTCCTCCTCTCTTCTCCTCCTCCTCCTCCTCCTCCTCCTCCTCCTCCACCTCCTTCTTCTCTCCTCCTCCTTCTCTCCACCTAGTGCTCCTCTGCAGATGAGCGCCCACCGTCCCCTGCGCGGCCGCCACATAGGACCAGCATGCACCGCTCAGGGCCCCAGCTGGCTGCAGCGCCAAAGCAGAACAGAACAGAGAGCCTAGCAGACTGTTGACGCCCTCTGTCCTCACTCACCTCAGAGAGCCTAGTGGAGTGTTGACGCCCTCTGTCCTCACTCACCTCCAGCTCTATTCTATTGTTTACTACAAACTTCTGAAAGACCCTGTCTTTGGTTCCAGCCAAACGGTGTGTTCACAGCCTGTTCTGATTGACAGATGTGTATATTTTAACAGTTGGCTTTCCACTAATCCCTCTCTGCCCCCACCACCCCCATACTTCTCAGTCTTTCCCTCTCCCCTGCTATTCATTTCTTTGGCTGGGTCAGGGCCACTCCTGGCAGTAGGGGAGGTCCGGCAGTGTTAGTGGAGTTCTTGCTGATTGATGCACGGTTGCTCATCAGGGAGGGAGTGGGGGTTCAAGGCCCCAGGGAAGGCTGGCTGCCCCCAGAGCAGCCTGTCTTGTTTATGTTTAGTGCAGGGGCCAGTCGGACAGGGAAATATGATCCTGTAGACAGACACAGTAAACCTGTGGGGCCCGGCTAATGCAAAACACAAACTCACCGCTTGTGTCGTTGAGACATCAAACAGGGCTTCACCTGGTTTTCACTCTGTGGCGATTTATACAAAGGGGTCCAGGTCAAATAGTCCTGAATAGGCCCTGTGCCAACTTACTGAAGCCGCTTGGGGATGAGTGGTTTCAACACTGGGCTCTTACGCCAGGCATTATATCTAGCTTTAGTCTTGACACATCGCAGTTAACAGCGGGAATTAGCAAAGCTCAGAAGGTCAGAGAACACTTCTTGAAGGTCATGGTGCCTCATGTTAAAGGCCTCCAACTTCAAGCCCTTTTTGTTTTAGGGAAGGCCAAAGAAAAGAAACAGACACAAAGGAAGGTGAAGAAACCTTCTTATCGTCAAGTTTATCGGGTGTTTTTTTAATTATTTGACAGCGTGAGTCGGGTGTTTACATAACACACAGCGGCAGAGGCCCGCAAGAGACGGCTTGCCAACGCTACCAGGAAAGGGCTGATAGATTTCCTCGTCTGATCCTCGCTTAGCCACAGGCACTGAGGAGGAGAGTGGATGGAGCCGCAACCAGCACAGGAATACATTACCCACTGCTAGCCCTCATTCAAAAGAACCAGAGAGAGAGATTAAGGGAGGAGAGAGGGAGAGAGTGGGGGGGGGGGGGGGGGGGGGGGGGGGGGAAGAGAAGGAGAGAGGGAGAGTGGGAGAAGGAAGGGAGGTAGGGGAAAAGAGAGGGAGAGTGGGAGAAGGAAGGGAGGGTAGGGGAAAAGAGAGGGAGAGTATGATCGAGCGGAAGAGGGAAGGGGGGACGGTAAAGATTCCCACAGCTCAACCTCCCAAGAAAGGAGAAGATGACGCAAGCACTGTTAACACAGTACACATCACACTATACCTGAAGTATTTCTTCATGGTTAAACTCCATTACTCTCTCTACTAATAATCTGATATTCAGCTGTACATACTCCCAGCTCCCATTCAGACTTTGTTTTTGCCTGTGAGAAAGAGAAGGAGAGAGGGAGAGTGGGAGAAGGAAGGGAGGTAGGGGAAAAGAGAGGGAGAGTGGGAGAAGGAAGGGAGGTAGGGGAAAAGAGAGGGAGAGTATGATCGAGCGGAAGAGGGAAGGGGGGACGGTAAAGATTCCCACAGCTCAACCTCCCAAGAAAGGAGAAGATGACGCAAGCACTGTTAACACAGTACACATCACACTATACCTGAAGTATTTCTTCATGGTTAAACTCCATTACTCTCTCTACTAATAATCTGATATTCAGCTGTACATACTCCCAGCTCCCATTCAGACTTTGTTTTTGCCTGTGAACAAGCACAGAGATATTGTCTGACGTAATTATATAACCCTCTCACGTAACAAGGTTGAATTGCCTTTGGGTCTCTTATGTAGAGTTAACACTCTAAACCCCCAAGATGCTTGTATTGATTAAATATATATAGTCTGATATAATAGAGAGAGGAGTATCAGAGTCTTCTGAGGACAGGCATGAGAAATCAGCATCATGAGGATCTCCATGTAGAATCACAGTGCAGCTAAATGACACCTAGAACTCCACACCAAGTGATACTGGATAATGGATGTGAATACTCCCACCTTCGTCCATCAAATATAAACATAAAAAATGGATGTATTTGAAATATAAACCAAAAAAATGGATGAATTTGAAATATAAACCAAAAAAATGGATGAATTTGAATATTGTGACAGTCTTTGATTGCGAATTCGTCGTAGAAATCCTTGGCAGCCTTCCAGAAGAATGAAAGGAGAGAGAACTGGATAGGGAGAGTAGCACTAAGGGCCTGACAGGCTTGTGTGTCACGTTACTGAAATGAGAAGTGAATGGAGTCTCAGTCATCTCTCCTGCCAGTAATGCTTTGACGGCTCTAACCGATGGGCATGGAAGACAGGGATATTGACACAATACTATCCGTAAACACTACTTAACACTAGAACCACTGGGCCTCGAAGGAACCCCCTTCAAGCTAATGAGCAGTCATTCTGACTGCAACATTCTAACAGTGTAGTTAATACATTTCATATATGCTATTGCAAAAATTATCATTTTGTTGTGTTTATGAAGGCCTTATTTACATGTTATTTTTAAATAATACTATCATTTTCATTAGTTTATGTTATTGTAGGATATATAAAAAAAATCAAGTGTTCAATAAATGTATTTGTGGAGTGCCTTTGTTACAACTATGGAACAGAAAGCATATGTGTTCGAACACGGTAACAGCTTCTATTTAATAACGACAAAATAAAAAAAATACCCCAACCACGCACGGTCAAGGCACGGTCAAATGATGAAAACATCAGTAGCCTAAACATCATTATAAGTGCCAAGTGGCCTTGTTAAATAGTGAAACTCATCACAAAAGCAATAATGGCATTGCAATGAATATAAGTGTCGATATGACAGCAGTCAAAAATAGTGAATTATTGTCAGCTTGTGTGCATCTTCACGCGTTCTTCCGCACCGGTGCCAGCCAGACTTATTTTCTTTGCAAGCAACTTGGTTACATTTCTCCCATTGCCAACGTAAGATTCCACAAGCCTCATCACCACATTCTCCAACACTCGCTCACCTGCTGCCCAATGTGGATATTTTCCCAAATATTGAAAGCTAGTCAGCATGTACAATTACGCATGCTCTCACTGTGTAGCCTACTCCAAGTAGGCCAGAGTAGACTGATAAGACTGCTTTGGTTTGGTGGACTGATACAGGTACATACCATTGTAAGATGATAATTAGAATGGATCA